ACACACACGCACGCACGCACGCACGCACGCACGCACGCACGCACGCACGCACGCACGCACGCACGCACGCACGCACGCACGCACGCACGCACACACACACACACACACACTATCCTCGTCATAGTCATCGTCGCCATCAGCATCACCAGCATCATAATCAGCATCCTCAGCGCCACCACCACCACCACCAGTATCATCACCATCATCATCACCCTCATCCTCCGATATCCTCACTCTCCCTTGCCACGCGGCAATGCACGGGGTGGATGAGAAGTATTCTATGATACTCGCACGCGTGACAAAAGGGGGAGTGCTCCGTTCCCCCTGCTCGCCCTTCCGAGCCTCCCCCATTACCATTACTCCTCCCGGACGTTACCATCCCCACCGCGTCGAACTTCTCCCCGCCATGCTCTGGACGATCCGTCTGGCCAGGCATTCCCAGAAGTTGGACGGGCAATCGGAGATCGGTTCTTGCCTCTCTCGCCCCTCTCCCCTTGGGCCTCCCCCTCCGACCCCCCCCCCCGTCCCCTCCTTTCCACCGTTCCTGTGCGGGGCGCAGCAAGCTCTAAACTCCTCAGACATTTCAATGGACCCAAGGTTCGTCCTTATCTTGGCATCGCTCGACGGTGTGCATTTTTCCTTTGGCGAGGACCATCGAGGAGCATCCTTGATTATTCAGCGAAAAAGCCACGCACGAAACCGAAAAAAACACACGGAATGGACGTCCGAGCGATGGCCAGTTATGAACACGTAGCTCACATGCAAGAATCTTCAGGAACGTGTCGGATCTCTTTGACATTCATGGGGGTCGCCAGTCGCCAATTTTGGCCGCCACATAGCAACGCCATGGTGGGTGGGTAGGCGAACAACACACTTTATCCTCGTCGTCGTCATCGCCGTCAGCACCATCACCACCATCACTATCAACATATCAACCATCACCATCACCATCACCATCACCACCATCACCATCACCATCACCATCACCATCACCATCACCATCACCATCACCATCACCATCACCATCACCATCACCATCACCATCACCATCACATCATCATCATCATCATCATCATCATCATCATCATCATCATCATCATCATCATCATCATCATCATCATCATCATCATAATCATCATCATCACCATCATCATCATCCTTCTCATCATCATCACCAACATCACCCCCCTCCTCCGATATCTTCATCCTCCCTCGCAACGCGTCAACGCACGGGGCGGATAAGAGGTACGATTCCACTTACGCGCTCGCCACGCGGCAATGCTTGGGGGGGAACGATCTAATTCCACTCGACTTGTCTCGCGACAACACAAGTGGGCGGAAACATGTAGTACTCTGCTCGGCCCGTCTTGCGGCAACGCGGAGGAGAGCGAAACCAACATTCAAATTCCGTGCTCGCCACGTGCGACGGTGACGACGGCAGAGGCGAGGGCGATAACAGTGACGAAGGCAGCGACGGCGACGACGATGGAAGACCATGACGACCGCGACGACGACGACCCCTCCGAACCACCCTCAACACTCCTCCCTGGACGTCACCGTCTCTACCACGTCGAACTTCTTCAAGCCATGTTCTGAAGTATCCGTCTGGCCAGGCAATCCCAGAACAACTGGTTCCTACCTCCCTCACCTCCCTCAGATTATGATCGTGGAGAGGAGGAGGAGGAGGAGGAGGAGGAGGAGGAGGAGGAGGAGGAGGAGGAGGAGGAGGAGGAGGAGGAGGAGGAGGAGCAGGGGGAGGAGGGGGAGGAGGGGGATGGTGATGATGATGACGATGCTGCTGATGATGATGGTGAGGCTGACGGCATGTGGATGGTGAAGCGATGGGAGGCACAGACAGCCTCCCAAGGAGGCGCGAGGGCTTCTGAGAGGCCCCGCCGCCTTCTGAGAAGGCTTTCTCTTTCTCACCTCCCCTCCGGGCGCGCCGCCGAATCTGGTCTTTGGGTCACTCCTCCTCCTCCTCCTCCTCCTCCTCCTCCTCCTCCTCCTCCTCCTCCTCCCTCCTCCTCCTCCCCTCCTCTTCCTCATCTTCTTCTCTCTCTCCTCCTCCTCCTCCTCCTCCTCCTCCTCCTCCTCCTCCTCCACTTCGGTTCTCCAGCGGCCGTTCGGGACGATCCCGACACCCTCGGAACGCCCTCAGCGAGGCGCAGCTGCTGGCAAGCATCCCCAGGCTGGAAAACCGCCGAGGACCCACGAGAACGTTTGAAAGCCTCGCACCCCGAGCCTTGAGAACCCGAACCTTCCCTCCCGTCGCTCGCCGCCGAGAGGACCTGGAGTCCCTGGACCGCACGGCCACCGTCATAGACAGCCTCAGGCGCGGAGGGGGCGGGGGCCGCCTGCCGGGCCTGCGGCGCCGCCGCCTCCGGGGTTGACCTCAAGCAGATACGGGCCTGGGTTTATAATGCTGCACGAACGAGATGGGCACGGAAAGAAAGGGTACAATGCTCAACCTCAGTTCCTGTCCATTTTGAACAGGACTCGCGGTCTGCGCCGCCGCAGCCTGTGTCCATTCGAGACAGAAGGTCGCCTGCCCAACAGCGGCCGCTGTTGGTTTGGGACAACACTTGTTGTTGGGCATTGTTCCCACTCTTTCCGTGCCCATCTCGGGCGTCCAAAATAATGCTCGGGGAATATTCACCTCAAGGGCAGACGAAAACGCCCCTACCCTGGATTACGAGGCGCTGTGCGCTGAAACTCCTGCGGGCTGACAGGGTAAACCCTGCGTGATGTGCCGCGTCCTGGCGGCTCTAGGCTTTGGGGGCTCCCAGGAGGGTTACAGACCGCGCGCTTGTAACCCAGGGTAGGGTCGTTTTTTCATTCCCCAATAACCGGGGTTCAGAACGTTCCCCCCGGAACAGTAAAAGCCTGGGCTTCTAACATTCCTGGAATGCTGCTTGGGGTTTATATCATGGTCCTCCCAGAGCATGATGGGCTCCAGCTCCGGAACCTCAATACAATGCATTGGGTGCATTCTGGTGGAATGATACACTAACCATCACGTGCCCCCTGGTCCCCCGTCACCAGGGGAGATTCCTTTTGTTCGAATCTTGATCCTGGTTTATTATTCCCGGAACATTCATAAACTGGGAGCGCATTTTTTACCCTCGGGGCCATTACGCGCCCGTTATGCCCCCCCCCCCCCCTCTCCCACCTCCCCCAATACGCGTTGTGCCCCCCCCCCCCCCCTGCCCCCCCCAATAACGTAGCGCTCCTTTCCGTCCAGCGCGGCCCCAGCGCTGCCGCAGACCGTCCCAGAGCGTCCGGCACCACAGGCTGTCACAGCAGGGGGGGGCGTGGCGTTGCGTTGTGCGTCCCCGGCCCCCCCCATAACGCTTGTCATCGCCGCACGCTCTCCGGGGTTTATTGCAGTCGGGGCGCTGAAGAAGGAACCCTTCTCGTGGGGGAGGGGCTCGGTGCTCCCTGATTGTTTCGCGGTTTGCCTTAGGCTTGCCTCAGGTTTTCGGAGGTAGATCGAAGTTGAACTGGTGGGAAAATGGGCCTCGTTCCTTATTTAGGGTTCCTTAGGTCAACGCCCCGACTGTATGACGGAGTGATAATAATCGAATGGGGGAGGAGTCGGCTTGGTTCACTCTTTCTTATTCCTCCCCAGCCCAGGCGCCTCACAGGGAGAACATCAACCACGGTTTATGATTGTGGAAGAGCGCACCTAGGTTTGCATTCTGGGGAGGAGGAGGAGGAGGAGGAGGAGGAGGAGAGGAGGAGAGGAGGAGGAAAAGGAGGAGGAGCAGGAGCAGGAGCTGGAGCAGGGGCGAGGGTTGTACAGAATGAGCCACTGTCGACAAGTATTTCAGAGGCACCCTCGCCGCCTCCCTTGTTGCGCCGCTCCTTGCCCTGCCGCCGCTGCCCTCTGCTGCACCTCCTCGCCCCTGCTCCAGCTCCTGCTCCTGCTCCTCCTCCTTTTCCTCCTCCTCTCCTCCTCCTCCTCCTCCTCCTCCTCGTTCTCCTCCTCCTCCTCCTTCTCCTCCTCCTCCTCCTTCTCCTCCTCCTCTCCTGCTCCTCCTTCTCCTACTTCTCCTTCTCCTCCTCCTCCCGCTTCTCCTTTTCCTCCTCCCCTTACCCTCCTCCTCCCCTTCGTCCTACTCGCCCGCGCGGCCGCCCAGCGGGGGGCGAAGTTTCGAGGCCCGAGTGTGTCGGGCGTGTCCGTCGGCTCTCGGCGGCGTGCCGAACCTCCGGCGGGGAGGGGGGCCGAGTTCGCCCGAAAGCGGCCGAGGGCGGCCCGGGTTCCAGGCCTCCCGGGTGGGGTCCGGGCAGGTGGGGTCGGAGGATCGCGCTGCATCACCGATGTGGGCCAGAGTGTTGGGAGATTTTTTTTTCTTTTTTGTTCTCAACACGGAGGGGGAGAGGGAGGGATCCGCTGCCCTTCCAGAGGGCTATCTTTCCGGGAGGCACACCATAGCAAAACAAAAAAAAGAGTGTTGGGAGATTTGGGGCGGGCCGAAGCGATCCCATCGGCGGATGTCAGGGGATATCGCGCCGCATCGCCAACGCATCGGCGGTGTGTCTTGATGTGGAGCCCGATTTTCTCCACGCGGACGTCGCCGGTGCATCGCCGATGCACGGGCGATGCGGCGCGATCCTCCGCGGCCCCACTGCAGTCGACTCGCACAGTAAGGATGAGCAGCTTTCCAGGGTTACCCGTGCATCCGTCCCCTTCGGCCCATCCTTGGCCGCTTTCGCTGGCCGCGCCCCGCTCGCAAAACTGTCGACAAGGCCTTCCAGGGCCCTCCCTCCTCATCGTGCGTCCATGCAATACGGGCTGGTTGTACTCCCGACCCCATCATGTGCAGGTGGCCTCTACCGGTGCACTGCCCATCCGATGTCTCGGTCTGGGAGGGTTGCAGGCGAGGGACGGCGAGGAAGCGAGGGCCGAGAGGGTCCCGTCTGGTGCGGTCAGGGGTCGCGCGCCGGGCTGCCCGTGCCCAGAGAGTCCTCGCCCCCCCCCCCCCCCGCCCGAAAGACGTCCGTGTGCCGCCTCGGGCCCTCTCGGGCTGGGCCGAGCCGTTTCGCTGGAGCCATATGGGTCATTCGACGCAGGGTCTCGCCTTCGAGGATCGAAGGGGTTGCTCTCTCTTCCGCGGCGGAAGGCGGCGGAAGGTCGGCGGAAGGAGAACGGCGACGGCTCCGCCGGCAGAAGCTCGGCCGAAGCTGGCGCAAGCAAAAGGTGACCTCCCAAGAGATGACAACCTTTTTGGGTTCAGGGTTTCTGGAACCCGCCATCTGATGCCCGTCGTGGTGCCGCAGCGGAGCCCCCCGTGTTTCTTTGTGTGTGCCCCCCGTGGCAAGCGCGGCGCGCTCTGCAGAGCGGGGAGGCGCGCCAGCAGCATGTGGAAAAGGCCGCGGACGCTGACGAAGTGTCCGCGTGCACTTTTCCTCTGTCGACGCGTTGCTGCCTCTGGGTGTCAACAGCTCTCGGGATGCGAAATCTATCCAAACACTTTGCGGTCGCTCAGCCAGTCCCCCGCCCAAGCAACACGTGCACACACACACAAACACGAACACAAGCACAAGCACAAACACAGGCACACATGCAAACGCAAACGCAAACGCAAACGCAAACGCAAACACACACACAAGTACACAAGCACACAAGCACACAAACACACAGACACACGAGCACACAAGCACACAAACACACAAGCACAAGCACACGTACACAAATACTCAAACGCACAAACACACTAACACACACAAACGCAAACAAACACAATCACAAACACACGCACAGACACACGCACGCACGCACGCGCACACACGCACACGCGCACACACGGGGCGGGGCCCTGTGGGGCCCTCGGAGCTCTGCACCCTGGGGCACTGTCGGGGCGCAGCCCGCGGTGACGGCCCCTGCCCGAAGGGCGGACGGCTCGGCGGGCGGTAGATTGCAGATCGACCCGCTCGAGAGCCCTGCGCGCGGCTGCGGCGCAGCGTGGACGCCCCACAGTTGAACAGCACCGAAAGCATCAAAAGCACACGCGCACACACGCACACACGCACACGCACGCACGCACACACAGACACGCACACACGCACACATGCACACACGCACGCACACACGCACACACGCACACACGCACACACGCACACACGCACACACGCACACACGCACACACGCACACACGCACACACAGACACAGACACAGACACAGACACAGACACAGACACAGACACAGACACAGACACAGACACATATACATACGCATACACATTCACACACACACACTCATGCGCGCGCGGACAAGCAGTAAACACTCCACACAATTTGTTTGTCTCCCTCTCCTTATGTCTTTGGCTGTTTCTGATCCACGTCTCTGTCCCTCTCTCTCGTCATCCTGTGGCTGTGCACGCCGGCTCCTACGGTCTTCTACTATTGCTCTATACCCGCTTGTTTTTCCATCAGACTCGCCAACTCTTCCAGCCCTTCCTGGCCCATCACTGACTGCCATTTGCTTTACTACCCTCCTCACCCCCGCCACTCTCTGTCTTGCTCCATCTCTCCGCCCTTCCCTCGCTCTCGCTCCCACATGCTCCCCGAGCAGTGCCTGTACTGCAGGGGCCCGTGATCTGTCTGCCTCGGACAGAGCGGTGACCCCGCCACCGCGAATTCGGACTCGGAGACTGCGGTTTTGTCAAACTCCTCTTGCGCGTAACGGTCGTTGCCTGGGCCAAACCCCCCTCCTCCACTTCGAGCGACGGTGACGCTCTTACCGGGGGGGGGGGGCTGGACCGCCCCCCCCTGGTGTTGGTGTTCGCGCGCTCACTATGGCGACCGCAGCCCGCCCTTGCCCCGACGTGCCCCTGCCCCGCCCCGGCGCCACCTCCATCCGGGGCCCCAGCCCCCTCCCCCGCCCGTGGTACGACCGCCACCGGAGTGGACCAGAGGACTGCCCCCTTGTGTGTCACCGACCTCCGCCGCTTTCCGCGCCGCGCCTCCGGTGCCTCTCGGGGCCCCCGGCCCCCTGCGCGGCCAAGGCGGGCTGCGGCAGCCCGCGCGCCGCGCGCCGCGGCGCTCGGGCGCCGTGCCGCGCAAGCCGCGCGCCGTGCCGTGCGGGGCCCTGCCGCCGCCGACCTCCCTCGGCCGCCGCTCTCGGGCGCCCCTGCCCCGCCGCCGCCGACCTCCCTCGGCGAGCCCTCGTCGGCGGCTGCCCCACGGCCTGATGCGCCTGCCCGCCGGCCGCCGCCGCCGAGCGCGCGCCCCGGTCTCCCCGACCGCCCCGCGGCCAGGGGCGCCTGCTCTCCGCCGCCGCCGCCGCGTTGCTTGGCCGCCCTCGCCGCCGCCCGCGCGCCCCACGATGTTAGGCCCTCGTCGGCGAGCTTCCCTCGGCAGCCCACGGCTGTCCCCTGGCCCCGGGGCCGCCGTGTGTGTCCGCGCGCCTGTCTGGTCTGCCACCGCTGGTCTCCTCACAGTGGAGGCCCATGCCAAGAATCGCCCTGCTTGCCTCCAGAGTGCCCTGGGTTCCTTGGGTTTCGATGATTCTGCTATGGGAAGCGTGGCGTTCCCACACCAACAATCGATGGACGTCCTGGGGTCTCAGGGATGGGTTTCTTGTGGACTGGCCTCCACTGTACGCTTCTGCTTGGTGTTGCTCCCTCCTCTTCCTCTTCTTGTGCTTTGCCTTTTTTTTCGTTTCGTTTGTTGAGGACCTTCCTGGTCCGAGTCTGCCCCCCCGCCCGCTCCTCGCCTCCGCGGCCGCCCTGCCTCCCGCAGTGCACAATTCGCTGTCCAGCCCCCTTGGGCCGCTTGACAAACCCGCGCGTTCCTCAGGTCCACGACAAACAAACATAGTGTGTTTGTTTCTTAGCTTTCAGTGTGTGTGTGTGACTCTCTTATTACTTTGTTTACATCTCTCTCTCTCGCTCGCTCTGTCGATCCCACTCCCATACACACACTACACATGTTGTCTCTCCCAGTGTGCATCTCTATAGACGTATACATCTTTAATATGCGCATATATACACATAAATATATATACGTATATATATATTTATATATTTATGTATGTATGTATGTATGTATGTATGTATGTATGTATGTATGTATGTATGTATGTATGTATGTATGAATGAATGAATGTATGTATGTATGCATGCATGCATGCATGCATGCATGTATGTATGTATGTATGTATGTATGTATGTATGTATGTATGTGTGTGTATGTATGTGTGTGTATATATATGTATGCACCCCCTTCCAACCTATACAATATCTCTCTTTTCCCCTCAGAGGTGTAGGTTATGGCAGCGACGGTGTTAGCTCCCTGGTTTTGGGCGAGCGTGCTTGCAGTGAGATGAAGGTTGCAGCGGCACTTTCACAGAGTGTGGTAATGACGGAGGTTCTTTTGATGGTCGTTGTGGCGGTTGGTATGTCATGGCCAGGCCGGGGAATTCAGTCCGAGGCGTGGTTGTGTGAAGAGGATGGGTAGAGGGTGGAGGACGAGGTGGAGAGGCTGTATGAGGGTAGTTGGAGGCGTACCTCTCCCCTTGACCAGGGCTGTGGGCCTCGGCCCCAGCTACTTCTTCGTTGTCGTGACCATAGGCTTTGTGTTCATCCTTGTGACGCTGAGGCTCCTCTCTAAAGTCGCCTCGCCCTCTGCGGACGTCTGCACGGGAGCAGCACGCTGGAAGCTGTCTGCTCTGGCCTCTGCGTGGTCGACCCCCTTCCCCTCGCACTTTTCCTTCCTGGTCGCTCCGTATTGGCGCAGCCTGTACGCTGCAGCACATTGGTTGGACGATAGTCTTTCGATCAATCTTACCCTTGCCCCGGAGGGGTCTCCTTGGCGGTCGCACAGGCTGGGGGATGGGAGCTTTCTCCCGACTCGAACGCGGTGGAGGCTTCCTCGCTGGCAGGGTCGTGCCTGGTCACCGTCGAACATAGTACAATTACAGCTTTGTTGGTTGTTTTAATACCATCATGAGCATCATGTGCCGGTTTGAAAAAAGGGGCGTTCGAACCTTTCGTGATGAGGATGTTGGGGCGACGATGGGGGTAAGTGGACAAAAGGCAATTGGGATCCAGCATGCCACTAATGCCTGGGAACGGGGCACCACGATCTCGATCCACACTCCCCCCAGCACGCTCCGCCTTCGCGCACGTCTAGACTGTGGGGATCCGCACCATTTTCGCTGCGCTTCGCATGCCTTTGGCATGCCAACACGTCTGAAGCGCGGGCGCCCGCGTGCGGATATCCGCACATCCCCGTCGGGGGAGGCGATGGCTGGCCCTCCTCCCGTACTTCTGCGCGAAGGTCAGCGGAGGCAGCGGAACGCAGGCTGGTTCGCGGGCCGAGGCTGGCGGAAGCTCGGCGGAGGCCAACAGGGGCCCAGCAGGTTCGTGTCGCGTCGACGCGGTGGCGACCCCAGCGCAGGCGCAACCTTGAACGGTATCAAAGGCCCAGGGTCGGCCGACATCGGACGGTCCGCGCCATCGGAAGCGGTCCGCGATCGCTCGGGGTCGAGCGATCCACGCGGTGTCGGAAAGCCACGCGCAGGTCGTCACGGCACGCGCCCGCCGTACACCCAGCAACCGTGTGTTTTGGCCGGGCGCCCGTCGGGGCGGTGCTCTGCGGAGCGGGGCGCTGGAAGATCCGAGCCCTTGCATGTCACGAGGGCTCGCAGGGGGGTAGGAGTCGACGCGCACCCCCAGGACGTGGGTCGAGGAGGGTCTTTGGGCGGGGGGGAGACTTGGAAAGGAGGGGAGTTAAAAAATCTGCACTCCATTTCGTACATCGTAGCAGCACTGAAGCCACTGCAATTTGACTGTTCACAGCCTGGATGCCCACAGGGTGTCGTCGGAGTTTCGCGCACTGGCGACAGATAGCAGCAGAGAAGGTAGTAAGCGTCGTCGGTGCGCAGGCAGCCTTGGTCAGCCACCTCTGCTGTTGGCAGAGTGGCGCGCCCCGTTCACCCCAGGCAGTGCCGACCCGAGTGGGCCTTGCTAGTGCAGGAAGTGTGCCCTGTGAGAT